GGGGGTGGGTGGGTATAGTTTTCTTTTCTTGAGATGACTGAGAAGATGCCTGTGGCCAACCCTTTTCTCTGTATTTATATCTGACCGTCCTTGGAAGGGGAATATAGTAGCATTACTTTTGATGATGAACGCGGTTTGCGGAATCAATTTCGAGTTAATTCAAAGATCAAATTAATAAATAAGATTAAATTTTATACCTAAATAAAATTAGTCTTGTTTTTAAATCACACATGTGCCGGTGGCCATGGCAACTTTTAGAGAGGGTTCACCTGGTAAAGGCAGTACTCGTTTATTGGAACAGCTGTACTTGGTGAGGGTGATACCCAGTTCAGCTATGATCTGAACTGTACACAATAAGTCTGGGAATCGGGGCATTTAATAACACCAATGTCCAGGTGTGCAGCTCCTTGTCTGGGTTGTATAAGCCTCCGGTAGGTGCAGTTCGTACGAGTTGTTTTCTTTTTCTAGTACTAAACTTTTAACTTTTAATATTTTAATAGATATTTTTATAGGTTATTTTCTAATAAAAAAATTTATCACTGAGGGTATTTTTACTAAATTTGTGATAATTATTTTTAATATTTTTTTCTGTAAAAAAAAAATGCCACTTGTGTGGATATTTTTACCAATATTCTGATAATTATTTTTTAATACCAAAATAAAAAATACTCACAAATATAATAAATAAAACTATAGTACGAATTTTTTTATGATACAAATGTACATTCAAAGTGGACACAAATCGTCTACAAGGATACAGAATATTAGAAATCATTGACCAAGAAATGAAAAAAAAAATTGTGATGCAAGACTGGTGTGGACACAGGTCTCTTTGTAGATATAGAGAGTCTTATTTTACATAGTAGAATAAGTTATATTTGTGATTGGAATCTGTCATTGCTGTTAGGTCTAAGCTAATCACATGGCAGATGGCGCAATCCAACGACTGGCCCGTGACTCAACATATGGGTTGATTTCTAAGGAGACACGTGACTTTTTGGTGTGTTTTTTTTTTTTTTTGTACACCGGAATAGAAAAGAGAACAAAAGAAAAAACTAGATAGAATTCCTAATAAAAGCCACACTGGACATGTCTGCCAGCAAAAACTTAGTCAGCTGGGGAGGAGGAGCATCAAGCTCAACCATCGTTTCCATTTGCTGAGTTTCGAGGTTAGCCAAGGTATCCGCGCACTGGTTTCCTTCTCTGAGGGTGTGAATAATTGGAATCTGTTTCATTTCCATGATTCTTCTGCAGTGAGCAATAACAGCTCTATGAGGGTGAGTAACTTCTGGGTCCATGGAGAGGAGCTTAGCTGCATCGAGTGAGCCAGTCTCCACCATAATTTGGTTGATGTTTCTCTTCTGAATCAAATCCAGACCTCTCTGGATTGCACCCAATTCCGCCTGTAGACTCGTGGAATCATCCAATCTCCCATAGAAGCCCGCAATCCATTTGCCTTGATCATTCCTTATGATTCCTCCTACACCAGCTTGGCCTGGGTTACCTTTTGAGCATCCATCTGTGTTAAGCTTGTTCCAACCTGTGTGAGGGGAAGACCAAGCAATTAGTCGAGGAGAGGAAATATTAGTTTCGCCATGGGCATGCTGGAAAGCTTTGACAGGGTCGAGTGCAAGGAGCCATGCATCCCTAGCAACCACTCTAGGTAGGGTGGAAGTTTTAGAAATGCATTCTCTATTCCTATCTTTCCAAACGCACCAAATCACATAAGCACACATAGTTGGCCAACATATACCTTTCCAATCCTAATTAATTCTAGTTTTAAATTTAAGAGAATCCAATTATGTAACCCTCCTATATCGCTGGGTTCCTCTTCATGGGATGAGTTGAAAAACTTCCACACTGTTTGAGCTTTAGGACATTCAAAAATCACATGCAAGGATGTTTCATCGGGGTGGTGGCATCTTGCGCAAGAGGCATCCCCAACCGTGTTCCTTGTGGCTCTAAGATTGTTAGTAAGAAGTCTATCATGTTGGACAATCCACTGGAACTGTCTCAGTTTTTGTGGCAGATTTAATTTCCAGATCCAATCCCAATGTAAGGAGGGCACACTGTTTGGATTGGACACAGAAATTAGATCGAAAGCTGCCTTTGTAGTGAACTTACCATTGCAGGAAAGCCCCTAACTGATCGTGTCCTGAAACTCAGTAGATAAGGGGCAGGGGGAATCTAAAATATCAAGCACAGTGGAGTTAGGAAGGATGCCTCTTGAAGATTTCAGTTACCTCTATCGTCGATGTAGTCAGCAACCTTCTTGCTGAGATTCAAGTGTTGTGGATGTGAAACCTGCTGCACTAAAGGACCCTCACCCCACCGCCAGTCGGTCCAGAAATTTATGTGACTGCCATCCCCTACTAACCATTTATAACCTATATCAACCAGATTTTTAGTCTTGCCAATGGCTCTCCAAGTTGGTGAGCTGCCCGGTTTACGCTTCCAATTAGAATTTTCCTGATCAACATATTTATTATTAATCACCTCAACCCAGAGGGCTTTCTCTTTGTTTTTCACTGTCCATCGCAGTTTAGACAGAAGTGCTAAATTATTGTCCCTGCTCTTCCTTATTTCCAGTCCCCCTTCTTTTTTGAGGATCATAGCCTATTCTAATTTACAAGGTGGACCTTTTTCTGTTCAGGAGTGTCACCTCATAAGAGACTTCTGTTATGTCTATCAATTTGGTCGCAGGTAGCTTGCGGAAGCCAATTAGTTTGCATAACATGATTCGAGACTCCTTTGTAACTAATAAGTTGTTTAGGTATAATATTTTAAAATTGAGAGATCTTAGTATTATATATTTACACACTTCAAAGAGTGTAGGTATAATTTACTAATAGATTTACTAACGGACATTGACGGCAAGGGTTTTAGAGCAATGCTATTGAGACATAATTTATTGACATAATGAGTTGTCACCAATAATACGATAATGAATTCATTAATGGTACATTAAATGTATTTGACTATCATTTCATAAGTGATAACTCATTATATCCTCAAAATTATATCTTTCAATTATTTCTCAACAACATTAGTGTTTTATATAATAAAACATGACCTATTTCAAATCCCATAACTTAATATAAGAGTGATTAAGATTCACTAAATTTAATGGCTTAAAATTATCACAAAAAAAATTTCTCCTAAAATTAGTCCATATTCAAGCTAATCAATGTCAAATTTCCTCAAAATTGAATATTCTACCTACCCCATATTTTTTACGGTAACTAAAGTCAAACAAAATAATTTTTTTCCCATCTCTTTCTTCTCTTTCCCACTTTTTTTTTTTATAAAATAGTTGGACAAAATTGATTTTAAATTGTGCTATTATAGAAAAAGAAAAAAAGAAATTATTATTTTATATGTTTATACTATACGACTGATTTTCGATTTATTTGCGTACCCAATATTTTTAGATGGGAGTTAGTGCTAGTATATCTCTAAGCAAACATATGAACAATAATATTTTTTTTTCTTCATCCCATTGCTCAACAATAATATATTGTACAAAGTGACAAACCATGACCAAATAAAAATATTTCCTGGGATGTCCAAGGGCGGAGTCAAGAATTTATATGTGAGTGGGCACTAACTACAAGTTTTAATTTTTGATTCCTAAGGATTAAAGTAAAAGAAACATAAATTTTTTAAATCTTATATAATACCCAAAATTTTATTGACAAAAAGGGCCAAAATCTGATATACATAGGGTATAGAAATAAAAATAATCTACAAAATAAGGTTCTAGTTAGACCTCTTTACAAAAAATGAGACCGATTATAATCATTTACAATCAACCTTGATAGATTTTCATATTTTAAAAGTGTTGCATGATAACATCATTATTAATGCAATCGAAAATATTATTC